AACTCGGATTAACTTTTAATACCGTCCCTGTTTGGATGATCTGCGTATTGTTTGCATAGCATCGTGTTGAATAACTCTGATGTCGACATCAAAGCAGCCGGACATTCTTGATCGGGATATAATCCGAGGATAATACCGATTGAAGCTTACAGCCATAAGTGATTTAATGAATAATTCGCTGATTGCGACTCTCTGAAAACTAAATGCACAGGTTTCATACGTCAAACTCATCCTTTGCAACGTCCTCTTGTAACTTAAAAATACAAAATGTCATAATAACGTAGGGTAGAGAACTACTTCGGCCTAATCGCCCGTTTTGGGCCTATCGAGCAGAAAACTTCAATAGAAATCCATTATTTCAGAGTTCGTCAATTCAATTATGCATTTGGTACGATACTTTAGTTAATAAGCTACGGAACGAAGTCAATGAGAACACTGGCACAGTGGGTCGATTTAAAGGGAGATCTGGAGGCGCAGCGATCACATTGTCATGATTGTCTGGTAGTTCACTCAAAAATGCTATAACAATCGCCAAGCTCGCTGTAATGTCACCAAGTGCCTCGTCACCCACGAATAGGCGTCTATGTCAGTGGTCTAACAACTCTTAGCGCGCTAATGGCATAGTTCCCCTGCCGCATAGAGAGTTGCCACAATGATATTAGGTTAGCTAAGGTCAGTTAACTGACTGGTGGGAAACGGGAGCTTAAGCAATGGCTATTCTTTATGCATTAAAGAGATAGTCTACCAGAATGGATGACTTTTTTTGTACAATTTTATGTTTTCTGATGGTTTCTGTTGTGCAAAACATGAGAATTAACTTTTTCAATACTTTCAATTGTACAAAGCATTAGAGCTAGAAACAAGATCTTGTAAACACTACACACCTTAACTGGTAGTTTGCTAAAAAAAATGCTGCAAAAATCGTCAAGCTCGCTGTAATGTCACCAAGTGCCTCGTCACCTACAAATTGGCGCCTATGTCAGTGGTCTAACAACTCTTAGCGCGCTAATGGCATAGTTCCCCTGCCGCATAGAGAGTTGCCGCAATGATATTAGGTTAGCTAAGGTCAGTTAACTGACTGGTGGGAAACGGGAGCTTCAGCATTGACTGTTATGCACGCATTTTTATGATGTAATCTAACAACAATCGTGTGTAGTGTTTACACGATCATGTTTCTAGTTCTAATGTGTTGTAAATATAATTGAAAGCATTTGAAAAGTAAGATTCTAGTGTTTTGTATATCTAAAAACATTAGTAAACATCTACATTTGAAAACATTCAAACAACGTTTACTTTAAACGTTTTGTACATCTGAAAACATCAGAGAACATCAAACACGAAGTACAATTGAAAACATCCGAACAACGTTTAGTTCTAACGTTGTGTACATCCGAAAACAACCGAAAAACGTTTGATTCTAACATCAGGAAACCTCTACATTAGAAAACATCAGAAAACGTTTACATATAAAAACATCCGAAAAACGTTTAGTTCTAACGTTTTGTACATCTGAAAACATCCTTAAAACGTTTGGTTCTAATGTCAATAGATTGAAATTTTTGACGTCAGACCGACATTAGAATGGCAAAATTTTGTTCCAAAATTTCTGATGTATACACCATGTTACGTTGCTTAAATACAACTAAATCATAATGTTTCCTAATGTTTGACATCAGGCATACATTTGATTTCGATGCTGATGTAGACATCAAAATCAAACGTTGGGTTAATGTAAATTTCTATTCGGGTCGTCTGTCACTTCGTTTGTGGTATAAGGCTATGCGGTCGCAAAAGCGACTCTTCAATTGGAATCATCTTGTATGCGAGTTAAAGGCGAATTTCGTTCACCCGGAACTCGACGCCACGCTGAAGATGAAAGCGTCTCAGCGTCGCCAACAACGGAACGAATCCTTCCAGCAGTTTTACCTGGAAATGGAGTCAATTTTCCGAGCCATGACTACGCCACTATCCCCGAGCGAGAAGCTTGAGCTTCTCAAGCGTAACCTTAAGCCTGATTATAAACAAGTGCTTATTTCCAAACCAGTGAACACGCTTGCTGAGTTACTTGGTCTCGGTAAAACTATAGATTCTTCTAGGACTCCAATCTACCACAAAGTATTTGGAAGTCCAAAGGAAGTTGCTGTAGTTTCCGAAAGACCTGCATATGGTAATTCGAAACCGAACCAATCCCAGCACGGTGGAAACGGAAAAGCTGCTAAATCAAAAACATTTTACAACAAGAGTGCCTCTGGAGCCTCACAGCAGAATAATAAACCGTCTTCCATTCAATCCAAAGATATAAGTGGACAGACGAATAAAAATCTCCCTGAGAAAGCATACCAGAATTCCAAATCCACACAGTCACAGAAAACCGTCATTTGTTTAGATTTCTTGGTGGATCAACATCGTCCACCAAACCTCGGGGTTTGTTATAATTGCGGAACTAAAGGACACGAGCACGAAGAGTGTTCCAAACCCAAACGTGTGTTCTGTGTACTGTGTGGATTCAAGGGATTCGAGGCTTCTCGGTGCCCCTACTGCCTAAAAAACGGGATCCGGTCCAATTGAAGCCGCAATTGGAACCTGAACAGCGCACCATCGAACAACTAGCCATACCTCCGGAGGTCTTTGAACATTTTCGACCGTCCTGCGAAGAAGACTACAACGACCACTTGTCAGTACAAACCATTATTTTCAATCATCCTTTGGACAATCGACCATTCGTGTTAGTTGAAATCCATGGATACGAGTTCGCCGCTTTGCTCGACAGTGGCAGTAATGCCACAGCTATGAGTATGCGACAATTTCAGAGAATTTCTCCCAGTCTTTTGAAGGATTTAGACCAACCGTGTAAACTGCGCTCGGCCAATGGTCAAATCATGCCAGTTCAAGGGCAGTGTTATTTCCCTTTTACCTTCAAAGGCAAGACAAAGGTCGTCTGTACTCTAGTGGTCGAAAATTTAAGTGTGGACTGTCTGTTGGGAATGGACTTTTGGCGAGCCTTCGGAATTACTCCGGAATTACATGATTGTGCTCTGGTAAATCCCTGTGTTGATCAGATTATGGATGATGAAGTGCACTCGGATGAGTCGACACTTACGCCAGAGCAGGCGGAACGGAGAGAGAAAGTTACTAGCCACGGTTGGAAGTCGACGCGTTTTTTGCCCCGTCCGTTTGAAGTGAAAACGAGAAGTTGGAGTGCCGTTTTCGTGGCGTGTGTCCGCTGGAGGGATAATTCCCAGCACCGTCGCGTGGAAGTGACGTCGTTTCCCCGAAAAGTGCCGTGGTTCGTGAGCTGAAGTGAAGGGTCGCCGCCAAGGGAAGCTAAATTTCAAGGATTTTTCCGCTTCCCGGCTAAACCCCAAGGATCCCCGAACAGCCACCGTCCTCACTGCGGTGGCTCAGCCAGTAGAGCCAGTCTCGCCACCGCAGTTAAGAGCCAAAGAGGGACGAAGCAGGCCGAACCGAAGGAGCGTTCGCCTGGGTAGTGCACTGCGGTGACTACCGGGACCATCTACGGCGAGTAGTTGGTCCGGTGATTCGTCACCATCGTCGCCGGGGGGTTCCGATAAAGGAGCCTTGCTCATCCCCCCCGCTAAACGCCAAGGACCGCTGCTACGCAGCTAAAGTGAAGTAGGAGACGCTCGGCACAGACCGTGTCTGGAGCCGACGTGAACAAACAGCAACCGCCGCTGCTATCGTCGAAGGGCCCCACCGAGTGACACCGAGGAAAACGAGGAGAAATAGGGAAAGGTTAGAGAATAATAGACGTCTTAAATTGCATTTTTTTCTTTCTCTTTTCTTAACAATCCATCCAAATCCGAACGTTTTTGGGGGAAGTACTCTGCTCGTAGCCGCCCCGCCGGGGTAAATCGGGCCAGCTATAGGCTGGCAAGTAAGCCGCAACTTACAGAAGTCATGTGAAATCAATGTTTAAAATAAAAATAATGTTACGTTTATTTCAAAAATATTCGTGTTGAAAATAAACGTATTTATTTTTGTTTGGTTTGACAGCTATGCGAACAATAATAAATATGTTTATTTTAAACATTCTTCTCATGTTTAAAATAAACATACATATTTTGGAATTATTTTAGTAGTTGCAAAATAAAAAGGTTTGCAAAGAAATGAAAAAAAAAGATCTTCGGGCAGGGCATCTTAATTCCTGCTCTTTTTTCGGGTGCAATTAAGGGTAACCTGTGGGTATTGGGGTCCTGGTCCAGGATGCGAGGACCCGTCGGGGTGGGTGTCCGGGGGTTTCAGTTCAGTGGAACCGGTGCAAATTTGTGTTATTAGCGTCGTTTTGCCGTTTCTGCCTCGGTTTCTGCCACTGGTCCTCATACCGGTTTCTTCCCATGTTCGGTATCGGAGGAGGATCCGGAATGGATTCGGAATGGATGGCCGTTTTTTGTTGAGGTTGAGCAAATCTGGGGCAACTTTTTCCGAATGTAACAAGAAGGAAATAAAAAGGCATGACACGCTAAAAACCGTTTACCCAAATCCTATATTGTTGAAATAAATATGCTTTTGAATTTAATTCAAACATAAATATTTTAGTTTTAAACATGCTTTCAATTTACTTTGAATAATTCATATGTTTAGAGTATAAACATTTATATTTTTGTTTTAAATGAACAAAATTCGTATCCGTGTATGAATAAAATAATTGATTTTCGTTTCGTGTACATCGATTTTGCGAACAAAATTACATCCATTGATGTAATATTGTATCTGCTTTTTGCTATTACATCATTATTTCATACATCAGCTTGAATATTACATTTTTTTATTGCTGTGTATAATGTGAGCAATACGCAATTGTCTTTGCTGTGCTGGTTCCAACCACACGGTGTGGCCTGTTTTTCTAGTTTTTCCTGTAGTGCCCAGCTCTGTTTCGATACATTTGACAGTGCTTTTGACCGACGGGAAGCCGGCGCTCGATATTTTCCTTTTGTCGACCCAAAGCCCCCAGGCCTATCCATATCCGGTCCGGTTTTGACGTTCGCGTACGACGAAAGACCGTCGTCGGCTCGACTCTGATCAAATTGAAATTTTTTTAACCGTGAAGAGATCTACATTTTGTGCAGAAAATCGCAGGAACCCTCTACTGAATTCCGGCAGAACCGGAAAAAGTTGTGCATCCATTCGCAGCGGATTGGAAGTGACGGTGGCCAACCGAAGAAACTCTCAGGAAGATTACACCTTTGAAGTTGGAAGCGAAAAGTTTTGCTTCCTGTGGCAAGAAAGAAACAAGTTGGGAAGAAGCGAAAAAAGTGCCAGCTATTATTAGTGGTGTTGTACAGCCAGCTTGAGAGGAAGAGAGAGCCCTCAGTAGCAGCAGCAGCAGCCAGAGTGTGCGTGTGAGTGTGCATTTTTCTAGTAGGGTAGTGCCGCAGGGGGAGGTTTTCCGGCAATCGTCGTCAGCGATATCGAGAGCCTCTTTTTTCCTACTTCGTCGCATTTGCCACCAAGGCCGTGTCAGTGGAAAACAAGAAAAAAGAAGATTGTGGAAGGTTTCATCTTTTCCTCCTTTTTTTCTTGACGTGTGAGAAAGTTCTTTTTCCTTCGGTTGAGTGAAGCCCCCGAGTGCTCGTAGCAGGAACGGGACGGGCCGAAGAAAGGGAATAAGAAGAAAATTATCGCTTTTTGGATGAAAAAATTCGTGAATTTTCCATCGGTGACGTCGAAGGAATAACATTTTGCGCCTACCTGGCTGCGGATGAGTAGTGGCAAAAGAAACAGCAGCAGCAGCCTAGCGGAAGGCTTTTCCCCCAGTCCGGGCCACGAACAATAAGTATGTCGCAGACAGATTGCTGAGGAGACGGATTTTTCTTTTTGGTTCTTTTCGTTCGGATTTCGGTGCAGACGGCACAGGGCGACGAGAGTATAGTGTGTCACACCATCACGTACTCATACAGACGCACGCACTTACTCCATCACTGACTCGAGTGTAAGGGCGCTTGGCAGAGACGATCTTCGAACGACGTCGTAACGCAGAAAAGTGGCCCCCGCGGAACCACAGCCAGAACAATGCTGCCCACCGTGTGTCCAGTGTGTCATGGATCATTCTAAGTCGGTGAGTGGGGACTGAAGTTTTGTGACTTTCCTAGCTTTTGGCATTTTATTTTCTTTCTCTAGTTGATTTGCGTAATCATTTTTAGCGGAGAAAAAAAAGGGAGGTGATTTAATTCGATCTGCTCTAATAGGGCTGTAATAGACAATATGTTGGAGTTTGCTTTTGCATTATCAGCATTTGGTTTCTCATTTGCACAGCGTTCCCAGTTAACATGGCACTTAGGTTGATTTTAAAGAATATATTTGAGTTAAGGATCTTAATAGCTTTATTTGATAGTCAGTAGTTACGTGTAGATTAAATCATTTTGAGTTTATTTGAGTGATGTCTCCTTTAAAAAAAAACTAGTTTATTTAGCTGATCCGGTTGGTTTTATTACGTTGCATAATTATTAGTGAACGGTACTACGCAGTTTTTTTTTTCTTATTTACTTCGAAAAAATATTGTTCTCGAAAAAATGTTCTGGTACTTTTTTTTTGCTAGCTTTGAGTGGCCTCTGGTTAGTGTTATTAAAATAGGTACAGCAATATCATATCATGATGTAGACTTTGTCCAACTTGAGGCTTTGTTTTTTGAAAGACCTTGTGTTGCTATGTATCTTAGGTAAAAGGATAACTAGTCCCAACTTTTGTTTCCCCCTGACACAGCTAAAGGAGAGACGAGAGCATTAACTTTAATTAGACGAGTATTCCTTTCGTGTTTGATGATTGATGGGCAACGCAACTAATGTACAATGTTCCTCTGTTCTCTGTCTATTTTACCATCTTCGACATTAATTTTAATTGTAATTCATTAATCGTTTGGCAATTTGTTGGTACTCTACTTGATACTTGATGGGCTTCTATCCGTTCTATGCCAAACGGAATATTCTTTTCCACTTGACAATCGCCATGGACGTTAAGCAACCTGATGTCCATCTCCAACCAGTTGTTGCAGTAGTCCAGTAAGTGTGTGGTTCCCGGGAGTTCAGAAGAAGTAAGAAATGGAAATGGTACGAATTGAAATTTATGTAATTACTAACGCTGTGTCCCATTTTTCGTGTCCATTTTAACCCGGAGTTAAAAGTGGCATTTCGAAAGCTATTTTATTTGTTTTCGATCGACCGGACTCAGTTACAGTTGTCAATATCTTACATCTTGTCTGTCAGATAACAACGCGTTAATCGATAACTTTCCATCTGTCACTTTTAACTTCGACTTAAATTTAACTCGACAATAAGGACACAGCCTAAGCCCTACGCATGTCAACCACGAACAGTTTAGTGAATTTGTTTATAATCCAGGTTGGAACCAGTTCCAACCCGTGCGAACCCAAGCTTATTGTCAATGCGAACCTCAACGCGAGCCAGGTTACAAAAACAAACGTTCACACTGACGTTTTACAGACAACAAGCAGCCCCAATTTTGATACCCGAGTCAGGTTGAAACTGAATCAAAACCAAATTCGTTATGTATGTGCTGCTAGGAGGCAAGTCATCGAGATTTGCTCCATGGAATCCGACGTAGGGCGCTAAAGAGATATTTTAATTAGCTTACATTTGAACATCACATTGCATGCACGCTATGAGCCAGAGAACATTACAACTATGTCATGACGTGCTCGTTACGGAATTGCGCAGAAATCTAAGCATGACATTAGCCAAAGCAAGGTTGAACCTTGCTTTATTATCCAAATACTACTCATCGAGTACTGTGTTGAATAATGAACAGAACGATTTCCGTGCTAATTTTAGATCTATGTTCCTATGTAAGTCAGTTTGGGGATCCTCGATGCGAAAACATCATGGACCTTAACGAGAGTCGTCCTAGAAGATAAAAACGATTTCAATCAGCCGATGCACTTCAACTTCCTCCTCCAGAGGGTTTAGAGCCAAGCCAGTCAATTCTGCAAGTTTCTTCATCCTCATTTTCGACAACGGTTTTGGCAACAGATCTACTATCATGCTCTCCGTTGGTTGCTGCCTTCTCTATTTTGATCACGAGGAAAGTGCAATGCCTATAAAAGCATAACATTCATATATGGATTTTTGTCAGCAAATCAATTATCCATTGGATGGATCCACAGCCTTCATAAATGGACAAAGGGAATCCGCAATTGACGTGTCTTTCGCGATCTCAGGAACAATCCATCGCCTTCTATGGAAGGTCATGGAAGACCCGATGCATAGCGACCACCACCCCATCGAAATCCGACTCGACTGTAGACCAACCGAAGCCTCCCGTAGACCACGCTGGATCTACAATCAAGCAGATTGGACAAGTTATCCAAGAGGCAATCACCGGTACCTGCAGAGATTTCGAACCGACCAACCTCTCGGACTAAATCGGTTCAATTTTCAAAGCGACAACAGACACTATTCCTCGATCTAGTACCATCCCAGGACGAAAATCCCTTCCGTGGTGTGGGACAAACAAAAAATTGCTGTGAAAGCCAGGAGAGGCTCTTCATGCCGCCAAGCGATTAAATAAAAACCATCATGACAACCCTAATAAAAACATACCATAAACGAATGATAACCCATATGATTGAACCATTCCACAAATGGTTAGGATGATACCCCGAACACGTCGTTAAGCCAATTAACCATAATATTTTTATTAGGGAAGGAGGCTGCTTTGGCTCACTACCGTGCAAAAAGGAACGAATGTCGGCAAACCATACGGGAAGCGAAAGCCCAAAGCTGGGAGAACTTTCTCAACGGAATCAGCCCAAACCAATCGGTAGCTGATCTGTGGGGAAGGGTTAATGCTTTAAGTGGGAAGAGAAAAAACCAAGGGGCAAGACAGCTCCTAATCATGAGCAATTTCAGAGTTGCTTTTGAGGCACCTCGAGTAACTCACATTGCTCAGTGAGCCAGATCGCTGTCATTTGCCTTCTCACTTTTCGCATCACAGCAACATATGGAGGTGCGAAGCCGAAAATCTGCTGTCAAGCAAAACAACAACAAACATCGGGGACTTCCGGCCTACAACTCCAGGCGAGTTGCGATTCTGAACTTTCGGTCCTAAATTTCCTTTGGTTTCCAGCTCCCGCGGGATCGTGCATGGGCTGAGGAATAAAATCGACTCGTTTTTCTTAGCTGGTGGATTTGATCGTACTGACGGAAACGTGACTGGATGACCGGATCTATGCATTGCAACCTCGGATCACTTTATTCCGTCTTCAAGTGACCGATCTCCCCTGCACAGTCAAAAATCGCGCGGTGATGGCGTTCTGGCTGCTGTCTCAACTAGACTAACTAACTAAGTACCTCGCCCATTTCCAGTCTGCTGGAACAGCTCTGGAATGTCATGCAATTTCCACAAAACATTCTCAGTATTGGCGCTGTCTACCTGCCGTGAGCATCATCGTTAGGTCTCGATTGAGTCCCCACGCTCCCGCGCTACTATTTGGCGAGTACAACCAAGCTGGTTTACAGTGGCGCTCTACCGACAGCGGCACACCATTCATTGACCCACTGCTATCGCATATGCCGGTGGTTTGCTGTACTCTTTTGTATGGATTTAACTTACACGGGTTTAGTCAAGTAAACACTTTTCCCAACCGAAACGGACGTTTGCTAGATCTTGTCCTGGCAAATGATTTCGCATAACCGGCCACTGATCAGTCTAGTTGCTGACCATCCCTCTCTCGTCGTGTCATTAAGGTTACCTATTCCGATTTCTAATAGACCAATCTACATTCTCTCAATTCTCAATTCTCTTCATCGACTCTCTATTTCGTGAATAACTCGGCTACAAAAACATTTCCTGTCGTATTAGATGCTAGATTGTTGCGTCTTCCATCGATATGGGTGTCCAAAATATCCGGAAATATCTTAACACGGTCGTGACGATCCAAAGAGAAAGTCGATGAAGATAATCGATCAATGCAGAAAGGGCCTATTGAAAAGTGACGCGAGAAATGTATTATGTTTACAAACAAAACTGACGCCTTATATATAAAGGCAATAAACGGAGTAAGCCGAGGAGTAAGCAGACAGTAAATCGATGAACGTCGATTTAATTTTGAGGTTCATTGAGCTACTCGCTGCAAAAACAGAACTCATAGTAAAGCTGTCTCACCCCTTGGAAAAAAAACTGGGGAATCGCACTTAAATATGAAGGAGGAATTACTCGCGATTCAAATACTATTGCCGATGTGCTTGAGGAATACTTCGCCTCTCTATCATCCATAGAATTCCGCGGGCCCGGACGAGGTGTGCTATCCTTTGCTCCGGAATCTACCACCAGAAGGAAGACGCAAGCTTCTAGATCTAATCAACCAGGAGTGGCTGTAAAACTCCCTGCCTTAGGATTGGAAATCGTAGAAAGGATGATAAATAAGCGACTGATGAACTTTCTAGAATCTAGGGATTTACTTTGTTACGGTGTAGTTAGTTTTACACGTATTTTGTTACCGGAACCTAACCGGAGTATGTCATCAAGCAGCAAATAAGCAAATAAATGCAGCAACCCTCGCTCCGCCAACCGACAATTCAAAACGCGCATCGAAACTCATACAGAAGTACCGCTCAACGAAGGAAAAGGCCTATTCGCAAGCGACGATGCAAAGCAGGCCGGTAGGAAAAGTTCCAGCAGTAGCTCGCACAGTTTTCGGAAAGTTGGGTCGTCGTCACCGACCGTAGTTAAATGTGTGAAATGAAGTGTTCAATTTCCCCGTAACGCGGCGGTGGACAGTGAAAAAACCTCTGGAGTCCCGGTGTACCGGTGGAGTTTGTGCCACGAAAGAGATTACCTTCGCAATAAGCGGCAACTCGTTGGTCGACTGCTACGCTAGACGTCCGTGGAGGAGCCAACACTGGACGAAGAAGTCGTTTTTCCATTGCGAGGCAAACACGAGGCAAGCCGGCAACCCATTAGTCACCGGTAGGGTAACCATCGGCTATAAACACCATCAGGGCGGGCAGCACCGGTCGGAGGCTGGGTCCCGAGTGTCTGCTGGCACGAGGCAGAACGCTGACGTTACTCAACAACGTTCTCCAACAACAAACGTGCGGCGAC